TACTGTGCACTACAATAGGATTTTGCAGTAAAATTTATTGTAGTGCACAGTAAAATTTGCCTAAATACTATATTGTCCCACAATTAACATGATCTTCAGATAAATTTTAAAAGAAAATTCTCTCCGTGTATATATAGATTTTCGTATCAAAGGCATCTTAAATTTATCCAAATGATTTCATATGTCATATTCTCAAGTAAGTTTTAAAGATATTTTTTTTATCGAAGTGATTTTGAAAGGAAAGAATTTTCTTGCCAATGCCAAACTTTTCATATGTTTTATAAAATGTATTTATAATTTTTTCTCAGGAATTCTTTCAATTCCTGAGGAAAAAAATTCAATTAAATATTGTTTGTGCATGGAGTCTATAATACGTACCCATTACATAAGGATCGATTTGAAATCTTCTGGCTATCGTGGATCCTGTGATATGAAAGTAAGCGTACGAAGCAGCTTGCACTACACCGATCCAACAAATCAATCCTACGAAGAGTTTTCGCGTAGCAAATTTCGCCAGCTTCGTGCATTGCAACTGTCCGCAGCCGCAATCGATTGATTGACTAGGTATTGGATTGGCTGGTCCTGACAAACCGCCTTCCACTTCCGATCCGCTTCTTATTACTTCCGGAAAACGCACCGTCATTTTTCTGAAAGAAATATCTTGATTGAGATTGTCTTTTGAACAAGATCAAATATATTAAAGTTTGATCATTCGCACGTGTAGACATAGCTTTTACTTAAGTATTGTGTGTATATATATATATATATATATATATGTATATACACGCAAGGAAAAATATTTCGCTACTTTCAATAAATGTTACATTACAATTTAGATCACCATATGGAATGGAAGTTTTAAAAAAATTACGGGAAAGATACGTGATCTGATATCAACCTACCTATGTGTCATCGTGAGTCATTACTTTACTGGAACCGTAGAGGCTTCATTAAAAAGTATCAGTTATATCAAACAATTTATAAATCAATTAAATAATGTGAAATATGTTCGTAATAATTATTTAAATGATTAATGAAACTGTGATATGGAGTTATATACTGCATAGGTTTGCTTACGTTTATTCAGACTCAATCCGGCTTTGCACTTGATGATAAAATCCGTAAACTTTTCGTATTAATAATTCACTTTCGTGGCCGGGTCACATGGCGACAACATTTCTAAAATTTCACCCCTCGGGAGGCTCGTTTTCCGTCTTTTCACCTCTGTCGTTGCAGGAGAGAAACGTAAGCGTTCAACGTGGGCGCACAGGCGCGGCACTATTCGACGATGAACACGGGCGTTATCTTCTTAAAGATATGCCGCCGAGATATCGTCCGATAAAGTCAGAGTGTAATACGTGCCGTGATAGGGATAACATTACCGACACCGACACATTGCAGAGGTGTGTATGATTCGTCGATGTTATTCACACGAGTGTAAAAGGAGTAATCATACGGTGTCCATTCCTCACTACAACGCCATTGGCATTCGAATTAAATACTTCTGTCAGTTACGTTAAAATGTACTTCAACGTACGCTTGTGTTTGAGGATTAGTTGGACAAAAGTTTTTGGATACATCTTTAAATTTTGTTAATTAAAAAGTGTAAGAAGTGAGTTAACATCTTAATAACCTATTTAAAATTTTCTATTTAATTAGTATTTTACAGCTTTGAATTTGCTGGCAAATTTTAAATTTATTAAAATCATATAATTTTTCCCCCGTATATTAACACATGTCTGAATATTTTAAAATCAAACGTATGAATAAATTATATCTGCACCACGAAACGCGGAAAGCTAGCGGAAAAGCTTACAAGTAATTTTGTCTCATCGATTGGATCTCATTCTTGCCGAACTGAAGGTTTTAACGATTTTGAGAATGACGAACTTCGATGTTCGCCAGCATGTGAGCGCGGGTCGAATCGCGAGAGGTCCAATTACGAAGACGCCGGCGAGGCATAGCCAGCCAGCTCTCTAACGCCGGGAAAGGAGTTAGCAGCCTTAAGCACACTTAAGTCGGCGCCATAAGAAAATGACGAATGCCAATTAGCATATGAAAAGCTCCCTCCCCGTCGAGGTGGCGTCTCCGTTGGACCGGCTACGAACCAGTTCCCCGGCGCTCTTGGTAGGACGATCACGTTTTTGAATATTAAGGGCAGGATTACACCGAGGGCTTAACGCGCGAAATTTAGTCCGGCGAGGCCGAGGAACGAGAAAAAATCACCCTTAAGACCCTGCGCAACGGACACCCGGTGGCGCGGAGCCGGTCTCCTGGAGATGAGACGAAGAGGAAACGGTGCGCTCCCGATCTTTCGGTTTCCCGTCAGCAGAAGCGCGTGTTATCCCTTTAAACGTCGACAATCTCTTCGGGATTTCTACTTGACGATCATTCATCAGCGATAATAGCTACGGCGCGGCTTTGAGAAACGATTGCGTTGCTGCTTATTAATACTATTGAATGGAATAGAATGGAGATTCGAGAACAGACTTTTCGCTCTGGATTTAAATGATATTAATCCAAATAAAATAATGAAGTTTAATTTTTACATTATATATTTACTTACAAATATTTAATGCCCTTTAAATATTTAAATAATTAAAAAATTTATAATAAATTTTTAAAAATAAATATCTGTAATTAAATATTTCGAGAAGATTCAAATGCATATATCAATATATTGTATTGAATGCATTATTAAAATTATAAGCGTACATATTGAGCATTCACATGCTGATGGTGTAATAATCTATTATTGAGAAGCATGTAATTTAACAGAGGATTGATAAGAATAGCTTGCAAAATGTGCACAAAATTTTATATATATATATATATATATATATATATATATAAAGTGATAAAGAATATATAAAGTAGTGTAAATGGAAATATGTCTCTTTCTATACAATTAAATTATATATATTTAGAGTTAGAGATGTATATAGATATATAAATATTTCTAAAATGCCGATACAATATATATATATATATATATATATATATATATATATATGTATATCTCTCGCCAGGAGGATGCAGGCTTTCCATTAGTAGAGTAAGTGACCAACGCTCGCATTTTCTTTGATGTCAGTTAATTTACTAATAACATCGCTTCGCGACCACCGTGCGTTCGCCCTCTAAATATTTGTACCGCCAATATATCTACTTGGCCTCATGTAATTAAGTTCCATTATTATTTGAGGGCGGCCGGCTGGGAAAAAGTCCTTTTGCAGGGCATTTCGTATCAGCCGGTCGAAACTTCATTTCGTTCAGTCTCACTGCGAGAATGTTCGGTTTTTACTTATCGACTAAAACCGCGCGAGAGCATAAAGTAAGACTCTTTTGCTCGAAATCTAACCATTTTATTTAACTTTCAGATAACAGCTAACGAGTTTATCGAGAAATCCTTTCATATTCTTTTTTTTTTATGCAAACGTAATCCTAGATGATTAGCAAGCGACAAAAAGCATATCCTTACGTGGAGGGAGATGAAAATCTCCGATCGACCTTCCTTGAAGCGGAAGAGCGAACGGGTAGGGTGACGGGGGTTGCAAAGTTCGGGGAGGGGGAGGAAGGTTCGGCGATCTTAGCGGAGGATTACGTAGAATTAAGTCCAGAACAGGGGCGTGCCCCCGTAACACTTAATTTTTCCCTCGATTTTTTAATCTCCCGGTAAATATCGTCCGCCCGCCCGCCCGCCCGCCTCCTCGGCCTGGTTGTCGTAACCCACCCCTGCTCGCCTTTCGCGAGTTCTCTTACCACCGTCAAAGGAGAACCCATTTAAAAACCTCATCAATGCTTAAGCCCCCGCGCTACCATAGGAACTAATCCCTCCTATTTTAACGCAGGACGAAGAAGAAGAAAGAGAGAAAGAGCGGGACGGAGGGAGAAGGAGAGCGAAGTGCGCGCTTTTAAAAGTAAGACTCCGCCTTTATTAGTAGATACAACAGTTTTATTTCTCCACCGAAAAAGGCGAAGGTAGGAGGGATTTTGCCTCGTATTTTTCTCCTTGTCTTTCGATGCCTCCATCTATCTCCGTTTACCATCCCGCTTTTTCCCCGTTTCGCTCTCTCGGTCTGACTCGGTTCTCGGTTTATTCCACTAACGTTGAGCGTGCACGCGGAAGTCTCCATTATTCCTAGAGACGCAGCCTAATTGGCTACTTCCGCCAACTACAAATTAGTGACGTATCGTTTTCCAAAAAGCGTCGATTAAACGAGCACAAATTATTTCTATATCGTATTTGAAGCGACAAAGAAATTGATATTTATACACGTCTTTTGAATATCGAATCATCGCGCTCTGCAACTCTTTTAATTTATTACTCTTTTTAAAATGTTATTTGTAAAAATGAAATGAAATTTTTTTTAATAATCTGTAATCTATTTTATTAAATAGAGATATTTAGAAAACAATCATGTTTATACCTATCAATATGTTGCGATCGCGTATGAGAGATTTTTATGTGTACTTTTGTTTGTGCCGTTCAAATTCGCCAAAATCATATCGATGTCAGCTCGGCTTCAACGAAACGATCAAATGGATCAACTTGAAAACGCAAATATTTCCATATGAATTTTCTTTGAACGGGTAATGCCATCATTTTCCCGAGCGAATCACGGGCTCGTTGGTGTTGATCGTGCGTGCGAAGCGCGGTCCAACGACGCGACTGTAATACGCTTTAAACTGTTAATAGAGTGCGTGGAGGGTGTTTGCTCGCGGTTGGATCTCGAGTGTTGGGCTAACATTCATGATGAAATTAATCTGGACCGGACGAACGGACGGGGTGACATCGATTAAAAAGCCCGGTGGCTTTCGCATGAACAGTCCGTCGCGTGGGGTTTGTCTCTTCTCCATTGACTTCGAGCCCTTCGCTCGATCCATTCTGATGTAGCGACCTTTATGCGTTTTCTCGTGGACATCGCGATTGTCATCAATAGAATAGTTCGTCTACCATTTGAAGAAATAAAAACGAAAATCATTTTTGCCGCGGTTGAATCAAGTGAACTATATGGAATTTTATGCAAATATACGTTCTTTCAGATACAATTAATTAGCCACATTTTTATATTATCTACATATCTATTTCTGATACTTTTAAAAATTAATAAAGTACATATACAATTGCTCTATTCTTATATCTATTTAATATTGAATAAAATATTACGTCAGAATCAATTACTCGAATGTTAAAATTTCAAAAGGGGAGATCTCTGATCAACAAGCTTATGCTCTACCGTTCTATAATAGTAATGATCGAATTTCGACTTTTGCAATTGCATACCTGGTTATTCTTCAATAGGATTATTACTAATTACGTTTGTAAGAGGATGCACTAAGTTGCGGCCGCGCGGAATACCGCCAACAATAATTCGACCTTTAATAGACGATAATGGGTTTGCGCGAATTATTTATTCGCTAATAACCGCAATAACAATAGCGCGGATCTTTACGTTTCTTCGTCATTGTTTTAGTCTCTCGTTTGCGGAAAATGAAGAGCGGGTGATGTTTCCGCCGCGCCGTTGGAAGCGTCGTCGAGATAACAGACCCGGTTCGTAAGAAGAGCGAGGGGCGGCGAGGGGGAGGCGGTGGGATGGACGCTTAACATTACAATGGCCACTCGAAGTTGTCGCGACCCCTACCCTGGCCCCTCGTTGCAAGGCGCCGTCGCGATTCGGGATTAGAAGTCTTTTATGAATCGCAGATCTTGATGAATCGTTCCTTTCGCGTCGCCTTCCGTCGCGATCGCCTTTACGACTTCTAAGATTTCCACGCGAATTTACTTAGAGGCTATTAATAAAAGTCATGCGAAAACAGGATTCTTGCGAGCGATATTATTAGCTCTGTTCATTATTTTATTGACTTCATAAAAATATTCTGAACCTACTTACTGAACTCAATAAAATAGCTAGTTATACAATTATTTTGTAATTTTACAAAGACATTTTTATAAGATTATTTGCAAGAAATTATATTTTACATCTATTGCATAAAAATTTCATTAATACAACATGATATTAATATAATAATTTCTATATTAAAATATTTTTTAATTATATTGCCATTTGCTGAAGACAATTTGCTGAAAAGATTACGCTTGAGAGATTATTAAATAATTTTATAAAACATATATTTGCTATTTATTCAATATAACAAATTTTGAAATATAGGTGTTTAATAAACATTTAAATATTTTTCTTGAAAATATGAGATTAATCAAACAATTATTTCTAATCCCGTCCGCAAGCAAACCCACGGCCACAAGCTTAATATACTGTAGACATTTACAT